CCAGCCTGTCGCGCGCGGCGCCTGCATAATTGACAGTCACAAGTAATGAGATACACCCTATCAAAGTATTCGGATCTCTTTTTTTCCTAGGTAAAAAGGCAAAATACTTGAAATGCGATTTTTCGGCGCAGCGAACAAGAAATAGTGCTTTAGCCGATATGTTCCGAAGATGCATGAAAGTTGAGATGAACTGCGGGCGGATAGAGCATAATGAGCTCTATCGGGTGGAAACCAGAAAACCTGCAAAGATTTGAAATATAAGTGTATCCGTTCTCGAACCGGCTAATGGTCATATGTCCTCAGTCAAAGCGTTGACATCAACAAACTGTCGTAGGTTGGACGACTGTTCCCTCAACCGTTGGAGCAGCGGTATAGGAAATTCAAAAAACCGTGACGATGCCGCGACCGCATGTGACACGCACGCATCTCCCATCAACCGCATTTCCCAAATTTTCATCTCTACTCGAATGGTTTTTCTGCTTACATATGACAATACATATTTAGACATGGGAAGAGACTGAGCTGAGAGTTGAAGTGATGCCGTTTTGTATGAGGTTTTCTGCCTTTGTGACAGACCGCAGTCAAATCCGCACGATTTTACAAACGACCTACACTCTGGAGTAGTCTCACGTGCTTGACTGCGCAGATACTGCTCAAAGTTCACAATCCGTCGAAGTGATTGACTTCATTTCAGCAAGACTAAAATTATCAAACATGTAAATGCCCTTATATACGGCTTATCCTTCAGTGCCTGGAGCATCAGCATCTCCGTTCCCGCGCGGCCGCTTCGTCTGGACTCTGCGCCTCTATCGCGAATATGCTCCCTGATCACTTTCCCACCGCAAGGATGGGAAAAGGCGGAGGGTAAATTTCGCTACATGAGAGATCAAGCACGATGGATTGACTCTAGAACGAGGTGAAACCTGGCATGCCAGCTAGTACTTCACATTTTTCAAATCTTTTTGCATAATTCTTTTGCAAATAATTTCCTATGTATACAGTTCGATTTCAGTGTCATGTGAATCTGCTTGCGCAGTAAACAAGCAATTTGTTTACTTCAGCCCACAGGTGCGATAAGGTGAGAATGACTCCTCCAGGGTGAAAAGGGTCACAGTGGTCGCAGCCCAACCAGGGTGAAGGGTGTTTCACTTGGTAGAGAAGTTATAAAATGTCGACGGAGGGGGGGGGGAGCAATGGTGTTTTCTCATCATTTTTCCTAGTCAAAGTTCATAATTTGTTCCTTACCAACACTGGTTATTTTTTTTTCTGAAATGTGAACCGATGTGCTGCTGGATTAGCATATTTCTGACGCACCTTGTATTTTTTCAAGCATTTATATAAAATGAATAGAAAGGATGACAGTATAGCCATGATAAGTGATCTTGCAGCTTATCAGCGTCTTGGGGACTATAAATAGACAGCGGAGGAGGGTCACGTCAGTTTACTCGGTTCCGCTATCTCAGAATATTGGACAGTGGCGACCGCCGTGAGTCTTTAATTGTCGCGGCTAAACTTCCGTTACAGCGCTCTGAAGAAGGCGATAAATCGCCGAAACGCGTCAGCCATTTTATTAAGTTCTATACCACCTTGGTAAGCTTAAACAATTCAAAAACATTTCCTTTTTCTTTTTTACATCACTCTGCCTGTTTTTGTAATTACCGTAGAAGATGTGCATGCGAGAACATTTGTTTCGGAAAGAGTTAGACAATTTTCAAACATTTACGAATATTTTAAAAGAAGAAATTCGTAATTTCTGTAGATGAACAGCAACGTCAGCAAGGGAAATGTTTTTAAAACCACCTTATCTTCCGCTTTTAGGGAATATATAGTTTGCTTGAAGTCTGTTGAAAAAGCGCCTGGTGAAGAGTGTGGGTAGTGATTTCTGAATATTCACGAGTTTTTAGGGTAGAAAAATTCGTAACTTCTGAAGATGAACATCTTGTACGCCATGATGATTACTTTTGGAACCGCCTTCTCCTCCGCTTTCAGAAAATATGTATTATGTATGTAAAATCTTATATATAAAGCTGAATGTCTGTTTGTATGTATGTATGTATGTATGTCTGTCTGTCTGTCTGTATGTATGTATGTCTGTACGTATGTTCCGAATAGAAAATTCCATTTCTGAACCGATCCGGACCAAACTTGGCACACATACGCTACGGGCCCCGGCGGGTGTCATAGGCTACTTTTCGTCATCGATCGATATCGATTTTATCGATTTTTATCGATTTTTTTGCTGAGTTCACCTACGGGGCTGGGAGTTGGCACAGGGGGGTAATCGAGCATGGGGATTCCGAATACAATATTGGTTTTCGGGATTATCGATTACTTTATCGATTTTATCGATTTTTTTTGCAAAGTTTGAGCTAGGGGGCTGGGAGTTGGCACAGGTGGGTAATCGAGCATGCTGATCATCCCCAAGGGGGGTGATCAGCATGCTCGATTACACCCCTGTGCCAAATTCCAGCCCCCTAGCTCAAATTTTCAAAAAATCGATAAAATCGATAAAAGTAATGGACGATCCTGAAAACTAATATTGTGTTCGTAATCAGCATGCTCGATTACCCCCCTGTGCAAAATCCCAGCCTCGCATGTCAAAATTTACAAAAAATCGATAAAATCAATAAAAGTAATCGATTATTCTGAAAACTAATATTGTATTCGGAATCCCCATGCTCACTTCCCCCCTGTGCCAACTCCTAGCCCTGTAGGTGAACTCTGCAAAAAAATCGATAAAAATCGGTAAAATCGACATCGATCGATAACGAAAAGTGGACTGTGACACCCGCCGGGGCCCGAAGTGTATGTGTGCCAAGTTTGGTCCGGATACGGCGGAGCCGGGTAAGCCAGCTAGTATATAATAAAAAAATATGTAATATGTAAGTAGACGTCTTTTTACAGTGGTGAAAACCATTATAAAAGTCTTACCGACCCTTCACCCGACACTTTTTATAATGGACCCCAGGCAAAGTTTATATTTTCTGAAAGCGGAGGATGAGACGGTTCCAATAGTGACCATTTGGCGTAAAAGATATTCATCTACAAAAGTTATGAATTTTTTTATGTTAAAAACTCGAAAATCTCCAGAAATCACTAGGACACCCTTCACCCATGCACGCTTTCTTTTCTGAAAGCGGAGGACGAGGCAGTTCTAATGGTGACCATCACGGCGTACAAGATGCTCATCTGCAAAATTTATTAATTTTTTTACGGTAAAAACTCGAAAATTCCTAAAAAACATTAGGCACACCCTTCACCGCACTTTCTTAAATGGATATCAGATATGCTATACGCTTTCTGAAAGCGGAGGACGATACGGTTTCCACGGTGATTATCTCGCCGTAAAAGATGTTCGTCTACAAAAGTTATGAATTTTTTAATGTTAAAAACTCCAAAATGTCCAGAAATCACTACGCACACCCGTCATCAAGCACGTTGTTCAACAGACTCCTTCATTCCTGTACATACACAATTCACGTACAAATATCTCCTTTGCTTAACCTTACCTCACTGTTGAATTTTTCTCGGCTTTTAATGAAGGAGGTCACCTTGGTCCCGGCTCAGGGGTGAAGAGTGGGTGAGAAAATTCTCACACTATCGCACCTATGCTTCAGCCTTCCTTTCAAATCGCGCGCACTTTTCATCATACACGATAGAGCATGTCAGTCATATAATAACCTGTGCGAAAAGCCTGTTCGACTAAATGGCGCCTATCCTCGGTGCTCGGCCCCGACTTGTCAAAAACGACATCACATTTGCTTTTTGCTCCGAAAACAAAGTCCAACCTGCTTCCAGACGACCCGTGCCGAGCCCTGACGCGTGAGTGGAGCCTAATGGCGACTTAATGAACTCTACCCTGGTGTATATGGTGTGTAGGGCTTATCTGTGACTACGGCATTCTGCTAGTCCGAAAACAGGCTGATATTAGCAGCTCTTGGAAAACGTGAGACAAACACTCAGCAATCGGTCAGGCTCAGTCTGAAGACATGAGAATGTAGTGGTCACATTTCATCGTTCAAGAGCAATAAAAGCGGTAAAGCTAGTAACAAGCTAATGTCATTGGTAACACTGGTAACACGGTTAGCACCTAAACACGGGTAACACTGGTAACACCAGCAACACTGTTAACACCCAACAACTGGTAACACCAGTAAAGTCGACTGCACGAAATCGCCCGTTCGCTCTAAGCTAAACGCACGCGAGCGTGCCTGCAACGCGGCTGCCGGGTCGGGGGCTATGATGACTCATGCGCGTGAATGCCAATGTTAGGGTTGTTTCAGACTGCTGCACTGACTGCAGCACACTGCAGCAGACTGCAGCTGACTGCAGCTGACCGCACTGACCACACTGACCGCACCGGTCGCAGCCTCTTTTCTTGAAAGAAAAAACAACCGCGATTATCAAAACAGCGTGATTTGCTCATAAGAAGATCATAAGTTCCATCAGAATTCTTCTCAAATTTTGGCGATAGTTTTCTTTGGTATGTTCGTATTTGTTCTAACTCTTCCTATCATTGCATATACCTGTTTTGTAACATTCTAAACCTTGTTGTTTTTTGCTTTTACGTATATATTGTTGTTGTTTATTTGAAGCACAACTATTTATCCTCTCCGCCTGCAGGCTTCAGCCGCTGCGGTCGTTGCGGTCAGTGAGGCCAGCTGCAGTCTGCTGCGGTCAGTGCAGACTGCTGCAGTCAGTGCGGCAGTATGAAACAACCCTTAGCCTGCAAGAGGCAGCAGGCGCTTATTCCGGGCGATTCCGTGCAGTCAACTATGACTCTGGTAAAACAGGTAGTGTATGGCCGGGTCTTTGAGATGTATGAACTGAGGATTGTCTGCACAGGACCTATCCTGGTGAAGGCATAATATTCACTCCACCGCTACCACCAAGTAATAGACTCGAGCAACAAGAGCACTGTATTGCATCATTTTTCGAAATCACTTTTAGGAAAACGATTGTATCAACAACTGGATAATATTTTATTTGCTCATGAACAAGGCAGGATGGCGGAGAAAAGTAGGCCTATAGCTATGAGTCAGGGCGGTGCCGATCTATCCACCGGCCTGTGATTTGATTTCGAAATGTGCGCATTCATGTCCGTCCCATCCCAAAAGACTGTGCGCTTTGACTTTGTTTTGAGAATTCGATGCAAACTGCCGTTATGTATAACCAAAATGTGCGCGTAAACAGGGCCAAGAGTTTAAAGGCAGTGTCCTGGCAGATTCGCGCCCTGGGAACTGTTGCTATGGTTAGCGTTCCTGGTCATCCCACTGACCTCCAGGGCATTACGGGTAGATGTTCCGCCTGGGCCGAGAAAATGGCCCCTGAAGCGGCGCGCGCATCCCCAATCGGCGCGCGCTCGGACAACTTCGCTTGCCGTTCGGCGCGGGACCCCACAACCGCGTCACCGCATTGTGCATGCTATCCAAAGCCAAATTTTCAGGCAGCAGGGTCTTCGTGCCAGGATCTCCCAACTCTCCATTGAAAATTCACGTCCGAGCTGCCTTTTGGAAATTGAAAAAACGCCCAGAAAAAGGCCTTTTCACCCCTTTTAAAGCTCAAATTCGGGTTCTACGCGTTGAAAAGGCCCAAAACATGCAAAAAGATGGAAATGCAAATTCTGCCGGGACACTGCCTTTAACTTTCGCCTTAAAAACGAGTTTTCTTTCTAAATAAAGTTCCGTAAAGCTTCCTCCTGTCAAAGGAGTGGAAGTTATCACCACATACAGGGTGTCCCAAAAAAATGTGAACACTGTTTGATCGTTAATAACTCCGTTGCTTTCATGTCTTTCGCCGAGCTTGAGGCAACATTCTGTAGAGCGAGGCTAAACTTAGATTTGTAGTATAGAGCGAATCACCGATCGCTGTTCGTTACTGTAGGATTACGGTTTGAACTTCTAGCATGTGGATCTATTGTGAAATATGCCATTTGACAAATTTTATTTCAAAAAATCTGAAAAATCGTGTACTAGAGTTTTCGCCCACGCTGATTCCATTACACAACTTTTTACGAGTGTTTTCAGTTTTTTTGACGGTGTAGTCACATTTCTGAAAAAATGCTGTAAATTCAGTTATTACGGTTTATCTGGGACTACATTGGAAAGAGGCATCACAGTAAAGTGGGAATCTCATATTCTAAGTCAGCGGCTTCCATTATCATAGTATCAGAGTTTCTGGCTTGTTTAATTTTGTTTCGAGGCAGAACATGGCCTCCAATGGCCTAAAATCCTTGACGAAGTTCCCTACCGTAATCCTACCGTAATGGAGAGAGATCGACGATTCGCTCCGCTCAATCTCGGCGAAGGACATGAAAGCAAGGGAGTTATTGATGATCAAACAGTGTTCACATTTTTTGGGACACCCTGTATAAATGTGAAACTAGAGACCTTGTCTTCGATTCTTGAGCACACGCAAGAACAGCTTACAGCATTTATCTACCAAAAAGCTTGAAGGGCTAGAAAACTACGGTGGTTGAGGAAAATGGGGAGAAACTTGAAGTAAGAACGCTATATAATGAAGCTATTTGTTTATTGCATCGATATTTCATCACGGTTGTGGAGGTCACACGCATAGAAGTTTGAATGCATACACAATAGCAGTCGCTCTGGCCAGGTCCGCCGATCTTACTCATATATAAAGCCACTTATAGATAAAAACTTCAGATTTAAAGTGCTGTTTCGTCTAGGTTTTTTTTTTGATGTTTAGCATGCCTGCTTCACAAGTGTCAAAGATGGTCGGCTCACTATGGGTTGCTTCGACTCGGTAAAGCATTGGGATCATATTGCGTTATGTTTCGCCAAACCCGACACTGAAACAGGTTGCTCATACGATAAAATGGTATGTTTTCTTGCCGTAATCATAGCTTTTGATTCAAAAATCGCTTCAGACGCGCCTCGGCTTTGACAATTGGGGGACAGGATTTTGCTGTTGTCGAAGTGAAAAGTGCAACCAACTACCACCTGAATGGGTAAAATTTTCTCAGATTTTCGAAAGAATACTTGTGCTTGTGTTGCAGCTTGCTCTTTCATCTTGGCGCCTTAGATGGAGAATTTGTTCAAACTTTTTGATAATGGCCACTGTCTTCTCGTTTGCTTTCTATGGATATGGACTATTGGAGTCACAGAGCAGAAAAACACTAGGCAAGAAGGTCTGTGCTCATCGCATTAGCCCTAGTAATAGTCTTTCCAATTCGTACGGTTATAAATCATTAGCAAGTACAACATTTCTGACGTTGGGATTGTTGCTTCAGAGTTCTGCAAGACAATCATTTCGTTCCCTTTGATTTGTTCAAAAAGATTAGTATATCACGATTCAGTTGGTTTAAATCCATAAATAATGCCTAATGCCTCAAATCTGCCTGCAGTTGATAGATGGAGGAATTTGCGTAACTCCATGCCCACTAATTTTTTGGCCTAAGATAATAAGCTTCAAATGGAAATGATATAGGTCTTACTTCCAAAGTTTTACAGCTCTGCTAACGTCTTTTGAAATTTTGAGCATGCTTCTAAAAATAATCTCAAAAATAAGTGGAGAGTTATAAATTGCTTTAACAATCTTTGTTTCGGTTTTTATAAATGTTCGATGCTTTCTCAAATGATTGTGTAAAAGCAAGATTAGTGTGTAGCTGACAGTAGGATATTATAGGCTTCTAAAAAGCCAGGCTATATGAAATTTCCTCTTATGTAAGCTAAATTATATGTATCTATGGGAAAAGAGAGGTAATGGAAGCTGGATTTCTTAGTGGCATACCCAGGTCTTCCGTTTGGGAGGGGGGAGGGGGTATGGCGAGGAAGGGCGCGGGAGGGGAAGGGAGCATTCGTTCCGGAGTAAATGTGCATGGTGTTAGCCCCGCACTCTATAAACTTTTGGTATTCTAAAATTGTTTTTATAAGGCTAATTTGTACTTTTAGAAATGTTTTTTATTTACCTAACAAGGAAAGGATCCTCGGTGGCCGTGGTTGGAATGCGATGCATACCGTAAGATGCACCTTGAAGTGCTGATTTTAGATCTGTGCTCGATATCTTCGAAACGATTTTCTGAAGAAAATTATGCCCTTTTTTCGTAGAAAATTTGCGTATTTTTGGATAGTTAAAATCATCGAATTCGTTCTAGGTTACTGTTCGAAGCTATGTAAGAGAATCTCAAAAGGAGTGCTGTTGTTTCTACCTATCTAAATCATATTCAGTATTTGAAATCTTGATAATTTCGACAGTCCGCAGTAGAGCAACTTATTTATGAAAAAATAGTAATAGCGCCATCCAGATTATCGTTTATGGAAGCCAGTACTCGAACCAGCATTGAAAGGCGCATTTTTTGATATACAAATCACCAGGAATGGCCGCGGTCACCAAATTCCCTCTCCTATAAAAACAAGTCACTTGCATACCTTTAGAAAGCCTTTTTGACTAGGTATCGTACATTAGAAGTGGCTTGAGTGTTTGCCTAATCGAACACATCTTCGATTTGCCAAGAACGTGGCATTACTTTCAAGTTTAAGCAATGAAACAAACTGTGCAGCAAGCTAGCCTATTCTCCCATTCTTGCCTGAGATAGTGTCGTCTTCTGGCATTTTCAGTAAGTGTTAATGTTTTAGAAAAAGCGCAAAAGAAAGAGTGAAAAAAGCAACCGAAAACAGCAAAAAAGTGACAAATCCAAGAAAGTTTCTAATAGTAGTCGAAAAAGTGAAAGAAGCCAAAAAAGTCCACGTAAGAAGAAGGGTTCACAAAAGAAGAGAAATTAATATTTAAAAGGTCAGTGATTGGCATGAGTTTGTCTGGCTCATCGTTTCCTTTGAACCTTTGTAGTAAAGCCGAGCGTCTGTGAGCGCAGTGTTGGGGGCTACGTCAGGCATCGGCCATACTCTGCGCGATTTCGTCTCCTCGCGATTGGATTGCAATGATTGCTCACGAGTCTACGTAGGCGCGTATTGTGTAAGACTCGGCATTTACGCATAGTCTTGCAAAAACTATGCATCTTTGCATGTGATCACATGCGGTTGAGTTGGGGTAGAGAACCGAACGCCAGTCTGGGCCGCCTTCGCAGACTACCTGGTTCATTGAGATGCAACAATATTGCAAGGAGGTTGCCAGCAAAGGCGGTCTAATATTGCGGAATTCGTTCCCCTGCCCGGTGAATTCGCAGACAACCGGCATTGCCAACCGCGTGGCGACCGCGATTTGGAGGAGCGTACCCTCCAACTCGCCTGAACTTGCCGAAACCCGTCGAAGCTTTGAATGAGGGAAGCGAAAGTGATATAGGTACCGTCGAGTACTTGATTTCTTAAAGGCACCGTCCAGGCAGATCTGGACCTATGGGGATGTTACGTAGAAAGTATTTTTGGGGCCATAACTAAGGCACTGCTCAAGCGTCAGCGCAGGTAGTGCTCTAACAGCTGAGGTATTCCCCTCGAAACTGGACCCCGCAATCGTATTCGCATGGAATCATGGCAGTTTCGCGCCAGGACACACGCTTTGCGCCATGAATCCATGCGAAGTTCGATCGCGGGGTCCAGTTTCAAGGGGAATATCTCAACCGTTAGAGCACTAAGTGAGCTGCCGATTGGGCAGTGGCTTTGTTAGGGCCCCAAAATTACGATCCATGTGAGAGCCCCATATGTCCAGATTTGCCTGGACGCTACCTTTAAGCGCACTTTGAGATGCCAACCAGGTATATCTCGTCCCTGATTTGGCAGGTTCCGGAGGGTTCGGGCTGGTTCGGACGGGTTTTGGCGGGTACCGGCGCGGTCTGAGCGATGCTGAGGTGTTCCCAAATTGTCTACACACTGCTTTCAAAGGAGCGTCCGGGCAGGCGTCCGAGCCTTGAAGATCACCCTCATTTCCTCGCAAGCCAACCCCCTCGAACGGAATCACCTCAGCCCTTGACGCGCTTTCACATAACACTATCGAACGCATAATGTTTACCTGTTAATGCTCGCTTTTGACACGTAATGTTGGACAGCGTCATGGGCGCTCGTCCAGAGTCCTTACGAAATAGCCCAAAAAGGGGTGTATGTCGAAAGGCGCGCGTTTCGGCGGCCGCCATTGCCAGAATGGAATCGTGCTCTCCCTAAGCAAGATTTCCAGAGTCCGAAAATCTTGCCACTTCATAATAAAGTATAGAGAAGGATCACGGAGTTGAGATCCGGAATGAACAAAGTAGATTTGAACTCTTTTCATGGCTTTCTTAGTCAGTAACAGCCGATCAATGCGCGCCATTCGACCGTCTCCCCCAAAAAGTAAATATTAACCCATTGACGACGACGCCTAATTTTGCGTATCGGTGCTGTGGAACGACTCGATACAACACTTGCGGTTTGGGAAGTTTTCGTATTTATTTACAAAATGCAAGATTGTTTTGTAAACAAATGTAAACATTTTCTTGAACGACGGAGCCTACGGTTCCCAAAAGTGCAATAAATTGGAAGAAATATCAATATGTGGAAAAATACTAGGCCTTCAGATGACATGACTTCTCCAGAGGTGTGGGCCGCCGGTGTCCATCCACATCGTCCCTGGCAGCAAAAAGTGCGTAGGCCATCGGTGGTCCACATCGTCGTCGATGGGTTAAGGTCAATCTTTTTCAGCGTCTTTTTGAATAGTTAAAATCAGCGCCATGAAAGGCTTGGATGAGGGAAAAATGTAGAAGTCGGGGATCTGCACGGAGCTTTTGAGAGTCGCAAGAATATATGTAACAATTTTATATAACTTCTTTTTTCGCTTATCATTTGTCAGCATCATTTGCGATCTCATATGCTGCTTTCCTGCAAGTGCTGTTGATCACCATCTGCTCTAAATGTTGCACAAAAGTCATACCTGCATACTGATCTCAAAACCAAGATTTTTGAAGAAGTTTTAATTTCAGGTGCCGCTTAATTGTGCAAAGAAATACGAAAGAACAACTCTCAAAGACAGACATACAATTTAAATTATAAATATTGCTGTACAAACTGACAAGCATATGTGAGGTAGCGAAGAGCTAGACTCATACAAAAAATTCTATACTCGTACAATTTTACAAGTGGAAAGGAATCAGCTTGAGTAGCTTAAGTCCGGCATTAAAAGTTCTAGCGTTCCAAACGATATAATTACATTTTAAAGGAATAATAGAGTTAATTAAAATTATGTTAATGCATTCTCGGACATTCGCTTCATTTCTCGTAGGCATTCGACAAGAGTGTTGCGGAAACGATGAGCATTCTAAAAAAAACTTGTTATCAATTCTGAAAGCGGTAGACGATTGTGGAAATCAACATACAGTATGCTTCAGCGATTTCCAAGATGTCACATGGAAACTAAGCAGATCACCTGTGGTACCAACAGTGTAGCAAACACCTAAAAGGAATTATTGATTTTTCAAACTTTCTAAATCTTGATCCTACCATAATTGGATCCTTCCGGACAGGCGAAAGCGCCAGCTGGCCAGAACAACTCCCGCTCATTGTTAAGTTTCTTTGTGTACTCGCTCATTTGATGTTGTGGAGTCTTAATGTTAGATAATCAAAAATTGGTACATTAGAGCCGCGTCAGAGTTTCTGCGCGGCTTTTGGCACGGCGCTGGAACGGCGTTAGCACAGCGTCGACACCGCGCGAGCAACTGTGAACAGCTTTGCCTTACGGCACTAATGACTCACCTGACTTGTTGATAGTGCATAGTTCATGCTGAACACATTCTCCAAAAATGGCGATGAAATACCATAGTATTTGGACACCACATACATAGCAAATAGATGTCTATCAACGCCATGGCCAGCCATTGCATTTCGGTAATAAGCCTGATGACGATCGCAAGCTCGTCTCAACAACTTCCATCTGTTCTGATCCTGGAACTTTGGCGATGTATCCGAATGAATCTTAATGAGCTAAATTCCCACGTTTTCATTTTTATCCAACATTGATCGGACAAAATCGCACGATTCAGTACTGCAACTTCTTACAGTTTCCGTTCGTCCATCACGATATAGACGCATAACAGCTGGTTCGTACGTAAGCTCAAATTTGCCTTGGTCCTATAAAATCTGAGTTGATTTTTCCAAGAAAGACCTTTAGCACAAACACGACCAGACGTTTTTGGATCTTGTTACTCCGGACACACTCTGCAATGGTCGGGTTCATGGGGTGTATGTCAAGAGGCGCGATTTTTATTGCCAGCTGGACACCAAATAACACATAATAAGTGTTTTGCAACTTTCTAAAAGTTTATGAAATTTAGAAGAAGATATATTAAGTAGTTGCATGAGCTGTTCAATCTTGATGCTCTAATAGAAATTCAAAACAGCAATTTTGAAGGTCAAAAACTCATGAAAATGCATTTCAGAACAAATTCGTAAATATTTCAGTCCGATTCAGAGCAAAAACCATGAAACTCAGGAAGTGGTGACTTCAAACAGATAGTAAGCTAATGCAGTTTATCTGGTAATTTTTGAAGACTCGCATAGCACTAAACTAGAGTTTTAAGTTGGTGACAGCCAAAGAAATCGCGCCTCTTGACCGTCTCCCGGGTTCATGAGGCTCATGACTCACCGGTGAGTCACATGCTTCGAAGTTGCAGTTTTTACGAATCACATATTCAGGATTTTGCTCGAGGATTACGGAGAGTTTGGTTCATTATGAGTAACATTTATTTCAGTTTTTGGCGTCATACGTAGATTTACGGTAGTCATTCAGCATGAGAAGAAAATCACATATTTTTGTCGAAAACGTTATTTTTAGGCGATCCGACTAAAACTCCAAGATAGTTCACTAGGGCCCTACAGTAAGACTTCGGTAGTAATAGGATAATTTTTTGCGGAAATCTAAATTTTTTATAACTAGCCAATGGTAGACTATTTTTGAGTAATCTGTTACTTGATATGCATATTGCATACCGTGCGCGCTATTTGACGACGAATTATGATTAAAACCTGCCCATTTACATACTTTAGCAGTTTGTTATGCTACAAAGGTTTCAATGAGAAGTTCTTGACCAAGAGCGTGGGGTGCCGCGCCTTGTGTGCAGGCTCACACATTAGGTCACAAACGTCGACGATAAAAACTTTCGTATTTGTAATTATTAGGTCGTTCCGAAAGTAATTTCGCATTTTCAAACGGGCGCCACAATCGATGGAACAAACCTTTTTAAGAGATCTTGGTAGCGTTCGATGCAGAATTTCATTCTCTTTCTAATGGTTATAAAACTGTTGCAAAACAGTCAATGAACTTTCAGAAAATAACCAAAATCTGCGACCCATGCTTTTTGAGATGGTCAAGTTTCACGATTTTTTAAAACTTTCATATCAATCCTCAGAAGGAGTTCAAGTAACGATTCGATCGACTAAACCTCATAGAATACAGCGCAACTTTTTTCCCTTTTCCATAGCTTGTCATACACTTTCAATAGAATTTTAACTGATGCTACCGATTTCCATACTTGGACTGCTAAATCCTTGTAGAACATCAAAGGAAGAGCAGCTCGAGTGCTGTTTGATGCAGCATTTTCTCTTCTTTCTAATGGGTGTTTTTTGTTTTCGATTCGTTTAGTTTTCGAGGATAAAATCATCACAATTCATTTTTTTAAGAAGCCCCAGGCTGTACCCGGAAGACTTGAAATTTGATATTTCGAATCCGTAAACTCTCATTTGCTTTATAAAATCAATATTAAGTCATATATCACCTTGGAAGCTTGAAATTCCGAGTAATTACTGATGTTTAATGCGATTGTGGCTGAGGTGGGACTGCCAAAATCCGATGGCTTTGTTAAAAAATCTTTTAAAAAATTACGGCGAGCTATGAGAAAGAGAAAAAAAGTAGTACTGTATTCTATGAGGCTTACTCTATCAAATCATTACTTGATCTCCTTCTGAGGATTGATATGAAAGTTTTAAAAAATTGTGAAACTTGACCATCTCAAAAAGCATGGGTCGCAGATTTTGGTTATTTTCTGAAAGATCATTGGTTGTTTTGCAGCAATTTCATAAAAGTTGGAAAGAGGATGAAATGCTGCATCGAATGCTTCCAAGATCTCTTAGATATCTTTGTTCCATCAAATGTGGCGCCCGTTTGAAAAATGCGAAATTACTTTCGGAACGACCTAATATTATACTAGGAACTCCTCTAAAAATAAGTTTTGAACTTTCTGGTGTGGACAAAAATCAATAAAATCAACCGATAAGTTCTGGATGAAGTGAGTATTCGCATACGTACTTTGTAATATGCCAACTGCATTGCCATTTGAATGTAGGCGTCTGGCGAAACGCCAATTTTCTTCATAAAGTCCTTTCCATAATCACTGAATACAATGTGACCATTCTCGAAATCGTCAGCAATTCGCTTGGAAATGGTATAGGCCTCCTTGACCGCGCCCAAAGTCTGCAAAAGAACATTTTTAGATGGAAGAAATGATTGATTGACTGATGAAATATTCACTTCAGAATCCAACTGCCAGCATAGTCTTTCTGGTTTCGGGACCACCTGCACGTCTCCGGTACAGTTTCCGTCAGGGCCATAAGGCTTATCGAACGCTTCATGATATTTGAGATATTCTCGAACATGTACGTAGATCATAGCATCCACCACCGAATGTTCAGCGTTGCACACGAGCTTCAAGAAAAGCTTTGTGAAATATTCTATTCGATCTTTTCAAGCAAGCAGGCATACCCTTCCATTTTTGGTAAAGATGTAAACACTAGGTTTGTCACACCAAAGTTTATATCCATCGCCTGTCAGTGCTAACTCGTATTCTCTGTCGTAGATTGTTGGATCGTTCTGGAAAGAATCTTCTCATCTTAATACATACATTAGGTTGGCTATTTATTACTCTTCTTCTGACATTCAAATATGAAATTTTATAAAAATTTGAAGAACTGCCATTCAGCCAAGGTTTTGTGTGGATGCACCTTCAAACCTCTACTCTTACATAGCAAATTTGAAGTTTTTTCCTTCTTTGATAAATGACAATTATACCCTTGAATGATTAGCCCCTAATGATTGCTTATTTGGCAAAAAATTGGATGCAGGTATCAAAATCTTATGTGTGAGTACTTGTACACTTTTGATCGAGGAGTTCGATTTTGTTTCATTGATAGTTTGAAATTTGTAAAAAAATCTGGGTTTTCCACATTGCTGCCCAACTTCGTCGATAAAAAACAATCTTTGCTCAACAATGGCATCTAATTCTCTTTGTAATATACTTTTCAATACTATCAAAAATTCCTACCAAGATTGTCAACAACATTTTCACCGTCAAAAAATGTTCATTAGCCAAAGAACATTTTCTGAAATACCAGCCTTTCGAAGATGGAGGAAATTTTTTATAGTACCGGCATCTTATTTCTACTCATTCAAGCGTTGATTTATATTAGAATTTGCTGGTAAGCTATTTGAATGGTGGTTTATATGATTTGCAAACTTTGATCATTTTCAATATTTTGCACAAACAATTTTGTGCCTTGCACTTCTCTGGAAAATTTCTTTCTTAATATGTTTTCATCTTCTTTGTGGAATCATGAGCGTTCCTTCAACGGGGTGGCCTACTGCAGATTACTGTAGATAAACATAGGCACAATTTACCTCATCATAGCCTGTTTCGCCATCGTCTAGTACTATGATCTCGAGGGCATTCTCTATGAACGAAAGAGATTCCTTGTTTACTCCTTAAGAAGCACATTTTATGGAATAAATCAGAAATAGGAATTTAGTCCTACCATCAGCAAATTTCTCTCTGCGAATCTTCGCCCAAAGATCACGTGGGCCAGCTGTAAGTGCAGACAGATGTTGTTCTCCTTCTTGTGGTGTGTCATTACGGTCCAAAATCATTTGCAGTGATCTGTAACAGTTGCAATTGTATATCAAATTGTTATAAAACCCTTTTTTGAGTGAAATTTATTTCCTAGCAAATTTAGGACACTGTTCGATATAGCAAAGCAAGCCCTATAAAATCACCAAAGCACGAAAAATTTCGAGCCAAGAACTAAAATTTTTCAACTCTCTTCGGCCAACTGGGTCACCATACAAACAATAATATCGATTACCAAGGCACATACAGAGGTATAGCATAATCAAGGTTAATACTAAAGCTTGCACTGTGTATTCAGCCACATAAGTGGGAGGTGATAGGGGCGGGGCTTGCTATTTTCGACTGACTTTTTCTCGATTTATATGTGCGAAAAAGTTTGCAAATGCATTTATGAATATTACATCTACTGTATGACGCTAGAGTTTTGTAGGAATTTTCGGCAAAAATTTTGTAACCGATCGGTAAAATCAAAAACGGTTTAGTTAAGGTAAAAGTTCACTTTTGCAACAACTTAATGTATATTTGGTAGATATATAGTTGAATGATAAGATTCTCTAAAATTTTCTTTTCCCTCACCGCCTACCTTTGCAGTTCAGCTGGTCGTAGCATTCTTTTTCCATGGAAAATATTGACTTTGTACCAACATCCTTTCGAAAAAACAGCCACATGTCGAGCATCAGGCACACGAATCATTACATCTACAGATGTAGATGTTTTTGAAATTTACATGCTTGCCATCGGAATAAGTTTGACCTACCGCTGACTTCGTTCGGCACTCGGAGTGACCGATGATAGTCCGAATATTGGGTAGCGCACAATGGTATAATGCCCAGAGCGATCTGATTTGGGATAAATTTGATTGCAATTTTTTCTCCTGCAAACTTGCCGGCTTCATGGTGTCTTTCACAAAAATGTCTCGACAGAAATATTGACGATTTAGGGTAGCATAGGCTGCCCGAGCTGCTTGATTCGTTGTCGGTTGCTAAAAAAAAATTTTTTTTCGTCTTCATTCCTAACTCGTCCAATAATAGCTTTACATACTTGATAGATGATATCAGCACAGCCCACATTAGTATGAATTAGAGAACCACGATGACGCATGTATACGACTTCTTTCCACCAATCAGAAAGCTGCAATTGTCATTGGTTGTGAAAGCGAACCCACCTAACAAGAAAAGGACATCAAGTCGTTTCAGCCGTTTATAGCAAGACATATATGGTTCATTTCGGCTTGAAACACTAAGTTCAAAGCTGTATTCACTATCTGCTAAATGGTTATCTGAAGTATTTTCGACGACAAGCCGCCCTTTGGGATTGTCCAAGATAGTAGTCAAACACTATTGAGACATTGTTGGTGTAGTGGTAAGTGTGAGGCTTTGTGAGCGGAGGGTCTCAGGTTCGAATACTGTTGCGGACACCCTCTTTTGCTGTATCGCTAGTACATCTAACTTTTTTTAGAAGACTGTTTAGCAGATAGCAAATGAGGACTTTAACTTAGCGGTTCAATCTGAGATGAACCATATATGATCGCTACGAACTGTTGGATCGACTTGGTGTCCTTCCCTTGTAAGACTACAGACTCACATAGTTTCTCGAAATAAGCCATTTCATCCAAAGTTTACGTTGAATTGAGGTGGCGACAGTATTTTGGAATTCTTCCGCTTGATCCTTCATAACAACGTAATCCTCATCGCTAAGCAGTGGCTTCACCGTTTCGAGATACTGTCTGACGGTATCTCGTACAGCTGGCGGCATTAACCATGGTAGAAGACTTTGGAATGAGAAGAAGCGAGCCCTTGAGGATAGCACTTTCATTGTCATCTGAAGCAAAAAATATATTTTTCAATTTGGCGAAAGTTTTCTTCAAACTAACCATGAATAGCTTTGTAGCTAGACTTGGGGGCTTTCCAACTTCCTCGTAAAGCCATCCATGATAATAGAGTATCAAGGTAATCGCAAATCTCACAGCCATCACAAGAACTGCTGTGAACAATGCAGATGTTATGAGAACGCATATTATATGGAGGAAAGTGGAAGAGCTAGAATAGATTTTTTTTTATATTTTGTAAGAAGTAGGCGCAGATAAAGCACCCACCTGACTACAAACTCTGCAAGACCCTCCAAAGTCCTCGAAATTGTAACATGTGGGGTAAAGTTGAAGACATCAAGGAGCGAAAGCAAAAGTGTCGAATAGATTAGCTCTTGCGGAAGAAAGGGGAAGGCGGATTCGGTTACGGTACGCTGAAAGCACACTTTTCCGCCAAATGATTATAGCTGATAGAATGCAGAAAATCCTTGTTGAAATTTGGAAATTAAAATCTGACAAAGTAAACAATTTTAAAAACTCAAGTGCTACTCAAATTTCTGAACCATTCCGTTATCAAAACTTAGAATCATGAAATTTTTACTTTAACAGCGTCCAGAAATTGACTTTTTGCAAATTATATTCCGTCCTACATGGCTGAATAGCCTGAAAGCAAGAAGGACTGAAGAGAATGCAATTTTATTTTTCGAGGGCTCTACATAAGTTTGCAAAATTAGAAAAAACATTACTTCTGCAAAAAATCCACGTTCTTCCAAAATTAGCTTGCCCAAGAATTAAGTAACTGAAATACTCAAAAATTTGGCGTTTTGCCTCTTCACTAAAAAACTTCGCCCCAACGACCACCCTTCCTTCTCCCCAGCAAAAATTGCCTGCGTAGGCGATAGATCTGAAAGCGAAGCTATGTAGCAATTCCAAGCCCCCCCCCTCCCTCCCCCTCTCCCTCGATTTCGACTGCATTTGGTTTTACTATTTACGCATTTGCAGCTCTTCTATGCATTCTGTTTATGTTCTGGTTGTGCTTGATCGATCCGTTGGGAGCAGGGGTGTTGTCTCAAAAACAAGGAAATGTCATCAACATTCGGAGCGTTCCCACAATATGTGCACGAAAACAAGAGTAGACATTGGCTTTTGGGCTTGGAATGCAAAGTCTTTATATGGAAAGTGATAATGTCATCTCCAGAGATCTCTAAGCGCAGAAATGTGGGGGGGGGGGGGGGGGAGAGTATTTAGAATTGTCGCTAACTTTGTACACAATTTCAGAAATATAATGAAGTTATGCTTTCATAAAGTATATCTTTCCGAAAAGGCAAAATCTTTCCTATAATGGCTACCTACAATCATACAAAAGTACATGTTAGCCAAAAATACGCTGTTCGCATAGTCTTAAAGTTCAAGGCCTTTCTATAATAGAAAAGATCCACATTGGCTCGGAGTTGTAAGAAGATGCGCATTAATTTGCCTCCACGCACTATCGCACTCTCATGTTCACTAATACGCAAAAGTGGGAGAGATACTTCAAATAACTTTTTGAAGTTTAGACCAGTGTTTGTACCAAAATTTCATTGATTCATTTCTCATAAATGGAATCAAAATATTGCTACTTTCCAGTAATGAATGAAGCGTTTGTATATAACAAGCTATGTTTAGTCTTATGGAATTTGCAGTATCTTCTTTTGGTACGTATATTCACTTTCGACCTCACTCGGCATTAATGACAAAAGTTTCTTGAGTTAAAATATTTCAAAACCTACAAATAAGGGCTTCTATAATCATGAAACACACCTTACTAACTCAACCAGTTGTTATAACAGGCATTTCGAAATGGACAAAAAATCAACATTCCTACTCCGAATTTACATATATCTATGATATGAAACGGAAATTTTAGATGAAGTGTTTACTCTCCACAAATATTCGTCATTTCGCGAAATCATACTAATTTTTATTGGAGAGGTTTCACGGACGCAGTAAAAATCCAGCACATGAAGGAGACCAGTTTTTGTTACTAGTTGTTCACATTACGTTCTGGAATCTAGCAAGCTATTGAGTTACCTAAAAAAAGTTTGTTTTCCATGCAAATCTCAATAAAAAAATTTCTTATTATTTTTTTACCCATGAGCTTTTTAAGGGAGAATGTCCCAAGGCTTCTGCTATCACATATCAAATACTCAGAATTTTCTACCATCAAGAAGAACAGTTACGCCCCTATATAGCTAAATAAGCTACATTTTTGACTTAATAAGCTTCATATTCATGCTGTGATGAAATTTTATTTGGAAATAAACTGAATTTTTGCTTTTGCGCACAATGAAAAACTCAAGGTTTCTCATTTCTTGGCGCCTGCTTTTTTTGGGAAATAATTCTAATAATTTCAATAATTCGAACAATTTTTGGAATTTCTAATCAATCACTATTCCCAATTCAATTCTCACTGAAGTCTCATCCCTGAGTTAAAAGCTTTGGACAGTAATTTGTCTGGAGAATCTATAGGAGCTGCAACAAAAAAATTCTATTCTATTAGCCGGTTTACTATCATTATTCCTTAGTTTGAAGACCTAAGAATCAAAAACAACATTTTTTTCACACAAAAATATTGCGATGAGAGACAGAGACGAGCATCAAACTGGACAGAAACTTACAGTAAACTGCTGAGCGGTTTTCGAATACTTCTTTAGCACGTCATGGCCTTCACTGGGTACTTTTCCTGTGGCCATCTAAAATGGGAAATTGGTCTGATCCTCCAATATCAAGATAATGAGCGAGAAATGTCGTGAACGAGATGTCCTCAAATACTGTAGATGAATCAGGAAGTGTAGATGTTTTTAAAAGAGTTTAAGGGTATCATTTCCCCTCAATATAAAAGGACGTCATGCAGGAGGCAGCAAAGGCTTACCGCATTTGCTTTGGGAAGTGCCTAGGGAGCTCCAGATTCCTCGCGCCTCTAATCACTTTTTGCACATTTGATTACTTTGCAAGCTAGAGGAGTAAACGAAAATCTTCTTGAAAAGTATCTCGCCCTGGATCAATTTGGGAATCTTGCAATTTCTTTTAAACTCATCCATAATCGTCTTCTGCCTATTCAAATATTGTGTTTATGGCACTTTACTCCAGAATTCGTAAACAATGTAGTGATTCTGCCGTAGAATAAAGGACGGTAATAACATGAGCAGGATTTACAAGAACATGTTTGAGATTCTGGTTTGAAGAATAAATAGACCGATTCATACTTTCAAATCAATAAATCTGATTTCATACCGCCTTTGACGTTGAATGGCTATCTATGAGTCCTTTTTAAACTTGTCATATTATCTGCTGTGAATTTAAAACATAAAATATCTTAAAACTTGCCACGCTTGAGAAATTAACGCACAATTTGGCATAGGTCACATCAAGTAATTAGAAGTGCGAAGAAGTAGTTAGAGACGGGAAGTCTGAAGTCCTCCAGGTACTTCCATAAGCAGAAGCGGCGAGGCTTTGCTGCCTCCTGCCCGACCGCCAATATAAAAATATTTTTTGAAAAAAAACCTCTTCGAAGCAAGAACGAGGGTTAGCAATACCATATAATTAGAATGAATTTTGTTACACTTTACCGTCCTCATCCTGAAAATCATAAACTTTGGCAAAACCTCATACCCGCATATCTGCGGAAAACGAAAAGAGCTTTCACATAATACTTGCAATTGCAATAAATAAATTAATTCTGTAAAGGCCTTTAATCTCGACTTCTTTTATTTTCCAAATCTCATTCTTTTTTCTCATCTTTGCAATTTTTTTTTGGGAGTTTCCGGCAACATCCGCTATACGAAGTTAGTTTGAAAGTTCAAATTTCAATGAAACGAATTGGAGATTTGCCAAAAGTAATTGGTCCAAAAACTCAAAAATAGATTCTTCACCCTCCACATAATTTTAAGGTGAAAGAAATTTTTTGAGAAAATCATGCGGAGTGTAACAAACACTATGTTACGCCATGATACTACTGGAGTCTGGAAGAGGATGTGACTAATGTGGTGTCAGATCCTACTTCCTTGATATACTGTGATAATGGGTCCCAAGGAGAAGGAACTATGAACAAAGTGGAAGCAAAATTACTAAGACTTTGTAACGTCTAGCAAGCTCTGACACCGTAGACTAGGGTAGCGAGTGATCTAAGAGACCAACCCGGTTACCGCCATCCATCGCGGGGCAAAGTCCACTGGCTAGAGAAACGGGGCCAGCCCCGTTCTCTACGTGGTAGACACGCAGAACAGAAGGCGGATGCTGTCGGGGTTTACTTGATTAAAGTTATTTTCACATTGGTCCAGCGCGTAAACACGCACATGAAAGAGTGATTAATATACGGAAGGGTCTGCGTTTGACAATATGAAGTATTTTTTATGGCTAGATGCAATTTGAGCGTTTTTTTTTCAGCAGATTGCTTTTGAATTAAAAAAATGAGTGGCTGAGCTAAAAAAATAGTCACTCAAGGGTTATCGAAGATCGCAGCTTAAACATGGAATTTGAAGACCTCATTTCCGTTACTTACTCACACACGTATACTCCAAAAAAATCTTTGGGCGTTTGATAGTTGGATAACTCCCTCGTCTCAAGTCTTTTGTAGACCCTCAAAGACATTCGCAAATCCGCTTCTACTTATGGTTGGATGGACTGAAATGAATCACCAGGCTCTTGTCATTTTTTCAGGTGGGAGTTGACGAACTTTTTGCTAGACATCCGAGTGTCACAACAAAATTTTTGAGAGTGAAAACTTTGGTACAAAATCGCTGATGCTAGTGCAATATTCGCGTTTACAGTACTTCTTTGTCTGAAAGTTAGATGGAATTAATTCCCAACAGCTGTTTACATGATGTTTAAAAGCTTGACGGTATATAATATCGAATATAGTAGTTGAACACCCCTACATTATTGCACAAATTTCGTTGAATTCAGTATATATAACCTATCAAAAAGGTTCCTAGACTTTTTCAAAATTTTTGACGTCAGAATGCTGGAAATCCCACCGTAATATTACAGTATATACATATTGCCAATGTGAGCCGTAGCCACTTCTACATTATGTATCACTCATTCTAATCAAAGTCGCTTTTCTGAGACACCTAGTTTAGATGAGCTCTGCTAATGCAATTTTTGTAAATTGGAGCCTCCAAAAAACGGAAGTCTATATAAACTCGAAACCTCTCAAGAAACAAAATAGTGCACTCGAATGCTGCACCCTCCGATCCAAAATATCTACACGTGTTTGCTCTGCGTCGACGACGAATCTGTGCAAATATGTTTACCTGTTGTCAGCAAATTATGAGATAGATATGATACATTAATAAACATAAGGAAAGCATGTGAAATATAATTTGCCAGTTTGTGCGGGAATAAAACCTGAGAAATTTTACAAAAACATGACATACTTTCTTATTACCGGGTTATGCATAGATATTGTTGAGTGAGGAAGAAAAGCGGGACAGCCAAAAAAAAATAAAACGATTCATTGAGAAAATAAGGCAAACTGAGACCAGATAAACAATGAATAAGTTTAACAAAACAGACACATATGCCATAACCTCTTGGTCTGTATCACTCATATAACGATGATCAGGAAGAATCCTACATAGGTCGCCGAGAATTGCCTCCAGCATGTGTCACTGGAAATGACGTGCCTTCGGGGCAGTGACCCTCAAATTATTCATTCGAACACCATCACCCCATTGATATTTCTTACCTTAACCAACAGAGAAGGAGTAAACACACGGCAATGTCGTTTGTTGGAAGATGTAAGGAGAGGAGACTCAGTACTACCTACACCTAAATCATAATGTCTTCGATCACATCAGCTATCTGTCAGGCATTTTGAAAGACTATGAAAATTTTGAAATATAATACATAGCCTCAAATTCGCTTGGGGTTGTGTACTTCTGATCTGAACTTCAGTTCTGACAACTTTTGGAAGCAAGTCGAAACAGAATACAAGCGCGAAAAGTTTCCCCGCCGTGGCATGACCTGTAGAATATGAGGCAATGGGAGTCTTGGCTATCACTAGCACCAAAAGATTTTCTAATGAAAAACAATACGTTGCAGATTTCTGGTACTCTAGATATTATGAGTATAGATAAACAGACATTTACTTCGAATTGGCAGCATTGAAGATTGTTTCCAAAAATTCTCTCATCCTTAAAATCCATTTCTTTTTTTTTTTGCAAATCAGAGTTTATTTTGAGAGCTACAAATTTATCAGAATTGTAACATTATATGATGCAGCCGTCGGTTGCTATCTCGTTCTTTTCTTTAAAAGAAAAACGTTTATTCCAATAAGGCAAGCACCAATGTGATTGATTGGAAGTTCACTTAGGATTAAACTTTATTTGCTGTTCATTTAAACTCCGATTTCGCATTCAGAGACGCTGCGAAAAGTTAACACGATCTCAAGGGCACCTAGAGGTTCAGAGGTCAGAGTATTAGAATCAGTAGAAATATGGCATTGAATAGTTTTCTTTGCTTTGATTGAACCGTCATTACGCTTCGTAGTAAAGCTGCTTTCATCCATGAAAAGCTCAATTTTTAAAGCTCATAGTCTTCGTACAAGTTCCCGCTTTGAACAGTGTGATTACAGAGAAAGCTCTCTTTTTTCCTCACTTCCATCCTCATACTTCCTTAGCAAGTTCCTCTAGGAATATAATAGATTCCAGATTTTAGTCTAAGGAGTGTGTAGAGCCATGCCACGGAGATCAAGTGTTCATAGATCGTGCTGCCCATGTGTAGGGGCATATTATTAGCGACTTTCGATCTGGCTTATCACTGCTTATCGCCATGGACCCAGAGTGATAGGCGGGAAACATTGTGGTCACGTGGGGTCTGAGTAGAAAGCCGACGCCCGGAATACCGGCACATTTGCTAGCAGGAAACGTTTTTGTACGGATAGTACAGGGTTCAAAGGGCAGAGTGTACGAAACATTGCAGGTCAACTGCACTTAGTAGAGAGATTTACCCTGGTCAATTATTTCATTGAGAATTTTACATTATTGGTGTGGAGAAACATACTGTACTCAATGTGATACATATATGAGATGTCATAAAAAATATGTGAATACTGTTTTTGATCGTTAATAACTCACCTTTTATGTCTTTCGCCGATCTCGAGGTACCATTCTGTGAAGTGAGGTCCAACTTGATTTACATCATGGTCCAAATCATCAATCATTCTTCACTTTTTACCAATTTTTTGAGCTCTTTCAGTGGTATCAATCAGTTTCTGTCGAACATTGGATAAAGTTGTCAGCCTCAAGCTGAAAGAATTTATAAAAGGAATTACAGTGAAGTGCAAATTTCAAATTCAGAATTAGGGACTTGGATTAGCCTAATGCAAGAGTCTCTGGCTTGCTGGTTTCCTTGTAAGGCGAAAATAGCTTTCATTCTCCCAAAATCTCTCTCGAAGTTTACACCGTAATCCTGCAGTAATGAAGATTTATGATTCGGTCCATATTGTAGATTTAAGCTGAACCTCGCTCTAAAGAAATGATACCTTAAGCTCAGCGAAAGAGATGAAAACAAGAGAGTTATTAACGGTCAAACAGTGTTCATATCTTTATGGGACACTCTGTATAGCATCCATGTCAGGTTTTGCATTCCTGAAGAAAATGAATTCAAGAATTTATCCCTGTGTTCTTTCAGAATACTCTGAAGAATATTCTGAACTTATTTGTACTATTCAAATTTCATCAAGTCGATTTTGCTTTATTCATCCAATTCGAGGCTTAATGGTTACAGTACATCGGTTAAATTGATATGTAGTTGACAGGACCGCAACCCGTTCCCCATGGTTTGTGAGTTACAGTTATACCGGTTCGATCACATGATCTCAGTCCGTGCTAGCTATTTCATCTTTTTCGTTGTGAATAATTTTTGACGATTCAAGAATCAGTAAAATCATTTTATCGTTTGAGTGATTCTTCGGCACTACCCGGAGCAACTGGAGTCCTACAACATGCCTCCAAACATCCCCCAAGTTGATCCATAAACTTCAAAGCCATAATGAAAGTGACTAACATATTCATTAGTCATATCAATATGGCAAATCCTGATTTTTCCCATTAAAAGGCGATTTTGTTAGGTTTTATAACAATTCCGCCTCTCGGACGACAACAAACTGTCTTTGAAAACTAATTAAAGACTGAAGATTTTGTGACTTGATAATCAAGAGATAAAGTTATAGTACGAAAAGTGAAAAATAACGAAACTTATGAGACAACTGGGTAAATTTCACTATAAATGCTATGTCTAAGAAAGGATTTGCACTCTGAAAGGTTTGCTCTATTATTATGTAATCTAATTTCCTTCAAAAGTATAGAGTTCTTGACACTAGTAATATCACATAAGATCTTAGCAAATCACGAGTTATTTAAATTCTCTTGTCTTTCATTCTTTTCTTCATTCTACGGAAGGCTGAAATAGCTGATGAAAAGCTTTACTACTTCTTGTAATTCAATCTCTTTCCCTTTTTCGACTGTAACAAGTCAACTTAGCTGACAAAACTGTATTCTTTCCATTGTTTCAGTGAGGCTTGATTACCATCCGGAGAAAAATTCTACAATATGCTTTTAACCGTAGCTGATTCAAATGAGTTTGAAGGTAAGTAATCCAAGTAATGTGTCCAATGATTAAATCTGTCAACAATTTTCGTTTCTATTAAGTTTTGGACCACTTCCGCATGTTCGACGGCGGCAACAAGTTGTCTTCCGAAAAAATCTGATTCTCTTGGACTCGGTGATTGGTCTAGCAGTGTTCCATATGTTTACCAGTGTTCTTCTTGAGACGATCACTTATCATGAATTTGGCAACAATGTTGGTACTGATAATGCATCGCTCCGATACCAGTTACTTTCCAGCGACCAAACAACAACACAAGTAGTCACCGGCGTGCAAAAGTGATATTTGTTTGTTGTAAACAGGTTTTGATGACACCGAGACTGGTTTCGCAACAGATGTTACATTTTGCTGTCAGTGGGTGTACGTTTCGAGGTTCAAAAGACGAGTTTTAGTTTCCTTGAACTTCAGACGACGATGTATTGTGCGATTAGTGATCATTTAGAATATCCGGTGGAAAAAGGGGCGCCCTTGGATCATCAAACTTCTCGCTCGTCACGCCGGATCACAAGAAGATACAATACAGACAGTACGGACAATATAGGCACGGAATCACATTCAAAGTTTGGCAGCTGCCAATTGTCGGAAGTAAACCCCATATTGGTCGTGGCTTCACCAAGTCCTCTTTTCGAATTAAGTGGACGAAGAGTCTTCGTTCAAGTTTCACAGCGAGAGGTTTTCAACAAGAATGACTAAATGAAACATCTATGCAGATTTTAAAACAAAGAGGCAAACGAAATATACAAAATAAAGAAAATTAGTGTCAAGACAACTTACTTTTTCTCCGCTTTCTTCTTCTTGGCATCGTCCTCCTTTTTCGAAGTTTCGGCCTTATCGTCCTTCTTGGCCGTTTTGGTGCTTGTATCAGCTTTGACAGGTTCCTTTTTCCTCGGAATACTTGTATCGGCGTAAATCTCCTTTGCAATGTTCATGGCATAGAACTACACTCATAGTGGGATTGAAGGGCGAGCGAAGTGGGGGCTCAGCTTATCGTTGAGATGGTCTAGAATCGCACCCTAGAGCATCAAAGACTGTATATATGGCAAAATTCGCAGATTTTGGAGTTAGTCCAACCGTATCGATATGAAGCTATGTACAAAGTTCACTTTTCACCCGCTTATTAGCAGTTTTGCAGATCACTAGCTGGCTTACCCGGCTCCGCCGCATCCGGACCAAACTTGGCACACATACACTTCGGGCCCCGGCGGGTGTCACAGTCCACTTTTCGTTATCGATCGATGTCGATTTTACCGATTTTTATCGATTTTTTTTGCAGAGTTCACCCACAGGGCTAGGAGTTGGCACAGAGGGGAAGTGAGCATGGGGATTCCGAATACAATATTAGTTTTCAGAATTATCGATTACTTTTATTGATTTTATCGATTTTTTGTAAATTTTGACATGCGAGGCTGGGATTTTGCACAGGGGGGTAATCGAGCATGCTGATTACGAACACAATATTAGTTTTCAGGATCGTCCATTACTTTTATCGATTTTATCGATTTTTTTGTAAAGTTTGACCTGCGGGGCTGGGAGTTTGCACAGGGGGGTAATCGAGCATGCAGATTACGAATACAATATTAGTTTTCAAGATCGTCCATTACTTTTATCGATTTTATCGATTTTTTGAAAATTTGAGCTAGGGGGCTGTAATTTGGCAGGGGGTGTAATCGAGCATGCTGATCACCCCCCTTGGGGATGATCAGCATGCTCGATTACCCCCCTGTGCCAACTCGCAGCCCCCCAGCTCAAACTTTGCAAAAAAATCGATAAAATCGATAAAAGTAATCGATAATCCCGAAAACCAATATTGTATTCGGAATCCCCATGCTCGATTACCCCCCTGTGCGAACTCCCAGCCCCGTAGCTGAAACTTTGCAAAAAAATCGATAAAATCGATAAAAGTAATCGATAATCCTGAGAACCAATATTGTATTCGGAATCCCCATGCTCGATTACCCCCCTGTGATAACTCCCAGCCCCGTAGCTCAAACTTTGCAAAAAAATCGATAAAATCGATAAAAGTAATCGATAATCCTGAAAACCAATATTGTATTCGGAATCCCCATGCTCGATTACCCCCCTGTGCCAACTCCCAGCCCCGTAGGTGAACTCAGCAAAAAAATCCATAAAAATCGATAAAATCGATATCGATCGATGACGAAAAGTAGCCTATGACACGCGCCGGGGCCCGAAGTGTATGTGTGCCAAGTTTGGTCCGGATCGGTTCAGAAATGGAATTTTCTATTCGGAACATACGTACACACAGACAGACATACAGACATACATACATACAAACAGACATTCAGCTTTATATATAAGATGGTGTAGCTTGATGCGCTATGCATCCAAACCGAAACTCCCACAAGGAAATCATCATAACTTATAATAACGGGCTAAGGATGTTTACGTGACTTTGTGTGTCTGTGTGTGTGTGTGTGTGTGTGTGTGTGTGTGTGAGTGTGTCTGTTACGAAATTCGTAGAGAGTGTTCCAGCCAACCTCCTGGGCTCAAATTTTGCACAGCGCATGCTATCCGCATGAAAGTCCAACACGCAAAAGCACGAGCAGATTCGTTGAGTGGATCTTTCAGAAACTGCGCGTCAAACGGATCCACTTTGCATTTGGGCCGCAAAAATGTGTCCGTAATTTCACTTTTTGCAGAGTCGTGGATGTTTATGCCAAGTAAAAGTGCAAATCATGAACTTAGACCCAAAAAAGTTTTCAAAAGTCCATTACTTTAGAGAAACGGCGCCAAAAAGTATTGGTTGCGTAAATGGTCAATTTGCCAAAGTTTTAAGAGACCATTTGACAAGATTTTTGCACAAAGATGTAGCTCACGGTGACTGCTATTCTTACTGCAACTGTCAAGACCATGGGAAAATGAAAAACCTTTAGAAATTTGCGTTTGTTCTCCTGCAAAAAGTCTCATCTACACGAAATCACCGATTTCACATAAAAAAGCTTTCGAAATGAGTAGTTGTTTACATTTTGTTCGTGATAGTCAGCATTGCTCGGTGAGTTCCAATGCCATCATTATGCGAGAATGAGTGGGGCCTAGATAGTAGAGCCAGTGCGAGCCTCTGCGAAGCAGAGGTGACGCACTGGTCTAGTCATATGTGGTAGTGCAGTGGTATATGAACCCTTTTGTGCATCTATCTATTAACACTAGAGGGGATAGTGACAATTTATTGACCGGAACAGATAGCGCCGGCTTCTTCGGCACACAATAGTCGATGAGTGAGGAGATATTACAAGTTTTTTGAACTCTAGGTGTACATTGGCCAGCAGGGGCCGACCAATGTGCACAGAGAGCTCAGAAAGCTCAAAAAACATTGTGCAAAAATGTTTATAACAAAGGGCAAGTTGGACAAAGGGAAGATTTTGAGGTATGAATCGTATCTTTATCACCAAAGCTGCACTTTTATGGGAGCTGTTTCAAAAGCACGGAGAACCAATTATGAATCTGTTTTCAATATTAAGGCTGCTGGAAGGCTATGAGAGTTTACTGGAGCAAAAATTGATGCGCATTCAAAAGGAACCAGTCGTAGCATTTTTTCTAGCGCGTAGATTTAGCACTGATGTTCTGCATCACTTTGTGCAATCACGATCCTTGATCGAAATTTACTTATTCTTGTCAGTTACATTTCAACGCTGAAGAGATATTCACGAGTTTTATACTAAGCGCGTCTTAATTGCTAGACGCTCATAACTCCTCTCCCAACTGGGTTTCATAAAAACGGATATCAAATTAAAATATCACCTTTGGGCCTCAGGAATAGTTTACGCGATTTCACGCGACGCCTATTTCACTTGTGGGTTTCCGAATTTTTGAAAAAATTAGTGAACCAGCAATTGAAGGTGCTAATAGCATGCGCGCGCTCCCGGACCGCCACGTTTTTCCCGCCATGTGCACATTCTTGAATTGCGCTTACGACTCTTTATATATTAGATTCAAAGAAAATCCGGTCCACCTGCAAATTTCTATTCGGCTTCAGCCACGTTCCAAGAAGTTCTCCTTCCAATCTTCTTTTTTTACGCATCACGCTTTGATGTTCAACTGTCTTTCCCGCTAACATTTTACATTCGCCGCTTCCAGATGTCGGTGGAGTTAATGCGGGTAACCGCTCGTGTGCGCCCTTCAGCGTCCCGACGGCCACAAGAACGGGTAATAGAGATTATTGACGACAAAAACGTAAGGTGAGTATGGCAACCATCTAACCCATCCACTCAAGAGGAAGCATGACTTGGAAGCGCTCTTAAAAGAGTAGTACGACCAATTTGAATATGGATAAAGATTGCCTCAAATGTGAATCCTTCAAATCAGTACTTGAAAAATCTTGTTGACAGCGAGGAACCGTGTATCAAGTTAAGACAAGAGCTTTTGTAAGAGGCTATTTTAACAGAGTAACTGTTGATCTGCCTTTAGGCACTCGCCATACTTGATTCTCTTAATCCACTTGATCCGCTTGATCCGCTTCGTACAAAACGCGCGTGACTAATTTGTCCCTGGCGTCGCGTACAGCGAATTTGCGTAACCATAGAGAATCTCCTCTAGGTTATGCTATGTGGCGCCAAATGACAAACTGTGTGTGCGCGCGTCTGGAAACCCCGCCGTTCTGCACGATAGCAGGACCGAGCGGATCAAGCGGATCAAGTGGATTAAAGGCACCGTCCACCCTAAGTTGAAAGGGTTGAGCTTTTAGCATTATATAGTAGTAGGACCCCTTATCAAGCCAGTGCCCAAGCCGCGGCGAAAAATGCCGCTTCGGAAGCGAGAAAATCGCTCTGGAGTAGCGAAGATGCACGTGGACCCCCATCCAGCCCAGCCAATCACCGTTCCGGAAAGCCGGCCTGAAGGTTCTCCGGAACGGGGATCATTGGGGTTTTCGCGGATTCTCAACTTCATATTCGGAATCAGGGACATGAGAAGGCCCCGGAACAATCAAAACATGGAAGTCAAGAGTCTGGGTGGACGGTGCCTTTAAGAGGATCAAGAGGATCAGGTATGGGGGGAAAGAGCCTGCCTGCCTTAGGGATCGGCCATACTATTCCAGTGATTCCTGCTAGTCCTGCTATTCCTGCGATTCCGTGATGCCCGCACAGTTCCTATGATTCCCGCACAGTTTAGGCGCCGCTTAAATGAGCGCATGTTGTATTTGTCATTTGGTGCCACGTACTCTGTGTCTGTGTCCTCCGCGGCACCAAATGACAAATGCAACATGCGCTCATTTTAGCGGCGCCTAAACTTTGCGGGAATCATAGGAACTGTGCGGGCATCACAGGAATCGCAGGAATAGCAGGAATCATCTGGAATAGTATGGCCGATCCCTTAGGCTGCGTTCGTACTGACCCCGAAATCCGGGAACAGTTCGAGCACAGACTCGAAATGAGCGCTGACCTGGAACTGTTCCCGGACTTGCCGGATCAGTACGAACGCAGCGTTAGCTGGAGATAGAGCGAGTGGAGCGCGATCTTGTTTTTTGGAGCGCTATATCATACTGCTTGTTTTTCCGAGCCTATTGACAAGCGGATCTTGTTTAAGCTCTCTTAAACTTCCACTTGCACTCCCTTAGCGTTCTTAGAGTGTGGGGCAAAAAGGCACTTTTGAATAACAACAGTTTATCTTGAATCAACGACTAGCAACTGCGGCAACATTACACCACTTCGCACAATCTGTCTTTGAAGCAAGACATTCCACACGCTAGCTTGCTGCTTTCTAGAATAGTTTCATTTGAATGCTCCTGTTCGACAGAGAGGGTGAAGGTGTAGGTTTGAATCAGCACATGCATTACCTAGCATTGGTACGAATCAATCAGGGCCCGGCACAGATCGTCTGGAAGCAGGCTGGACTTCGTTTTGAAGGCAGCGTCCGGGCAAGATCCACCCACCCAGGTTGGCACATAGCTGTGAAGCGGGCCCCAGGAGTATCCGATCTGCGTAGGCCCGATCCGCTGACGTGGTCTCTAAAAGGAGATATGGGCCTGTGATACGTATCACAATCCGCCTTTTCCGTATTACAAACCACCCCTGAGGACGATTGCTCACGCAAGAGTCGCAACTGCACCTGTGCAGTTGCAGCTCCTCTCCGCTGGCAAGCCGAGGGGATGCATAATCCGAAACTCGTCCGCGCACTCAAGTCAGCGAGCGCAGCACCATATTACGGCGGGCGGCGCGCCTATAAATACGCAATTTTGTGAGGACGCCAAATTTGAACTCGCTCAGCACTACATTTACTCAGCCCTCTATGGAGTGTTCAACAGTATACAGCTTGCTGGGTTTGTCCACTTCGAATTTCGACAATTCCCTTGTAAGCATGTTTTCAACAGGAGAAATGGAATTGTGAATTTTCCGATGATCCCTAGCTCGCGAGCCAGGGATTACCTAAGATTTCGATATTCTCAGTTTTCACTTATATCTACCATTAGTTTGATGCAGAAGTTCTTTCGCACCAAATTCAGATTCATAACTTGTTGAATTCTCAACGAATCTGCAATATCTAAATTTTGCTTAAGAGAGGAACTCATGCTCTTTGCGTATATACCTGAATTTTTCGTTATTGTTCACAAATGAAGGAGATAGAAGCTCAAAACCAAAATCACATAAAATTTGAATCGTGTAGGGTCATAAAAAATCGGAAACTTGCAACAAAAATCGGAGCAGTCAGTATTGTAGGTTCTTTCACCAGCTTTTTCTAACGGTGCAAAGTTTGCGCTGATTGAGCATCTGTATAAAAAGTTATGATTTCCCTGAAAAATGCCAAAATAAATCAAATTCGCCCTTTTGTACTGCTTGCTCGAAAATCATAACTTTTCATAGATACGGTCAATCAGCGCAAACTTTGCACCGTCAGAAAGAGCTGGTGAAAGAACCTACAATACTGGCTGCTCCGATTTTTGTTGCAAGTTTCCGATTTTATGATCTTACACAGAAATTCCAATTTTAAGTGATTTTGGTTTTGAGTTTCTATCTCCTTCATTTGTAAACATCAACGAACAGTTCAGGTACAGATGCAAGGAGCATGAGTTTCTCTCTTAAAGGCAGTGGCTCGGCAAAACCGAACACTTCGAAATATCGATATGTAAGGTTGCTTGCATCCGAGACATGAGAACAGGCAGGTCCGAGCGCGCGGCATGCGGCCCCTGCCTAGAAAACTGCCCCTAAATGCGTGCGCGCAAGCTATTCTTACACGCGCCGGACGAGCCTGCAATTCCCCTCCCACGGTCAGAGGCGGCATGCCGCAATGCTATACACACGAGGGTCCCGCAACGACTCTGCATCTCTAACCATGGTTTGGAGTGCTCCACTCGTCCAGATTCCAAAAAAAGGCTCTAGGAATTGCTCGTTTTCGCCAATATCGCGCTCTTCAAGGTGGATATTTAGAATCAGCACATCGAATTACCCCAGGTAAGAGAAAAAAAAACTTAAGGTCGAGGATTTGCCGAGCCACTGCCTTTAAAGGCAGCGTCCCACCAGATTGGGGGGTACCCGGTTTTGGTAGTATTGTAATAGTAGACCCCCTAACTAAGCAACGACGGAAGTTTGCAGCGCGAAAGGGGGTCTACGAAGTCTAAAAATCGCCCCCGAAGTAGCCCGGATCTTACGCCAGGTTGGGCGAGTACGAGATGCATGCAAGGTAGAGACGCAGAATCGTTGCGGGACCCTGCGATCTTCACTGTGTGCGCCATACGCACTCTGGCCTTGCAGTTCGTGCAGTTTGGAGGGGCGGCGTTCGGCCCTACCGTAAGATTCGGCCCACTTTCGGAGCAAATTTCAGGCTTGGTAGACCCCCTTTTTCGCTCCGAACTTCAGCCGTCGCTTAGTTAGGGGGTCTACTATTACAATACTACCAGAGCCAGGTATCCCCAAGTTTGGTGGGACGCTGCCTTTAAGCAAAATTCAGAACTTGCAGATTCGTTGAGAATTTAACAAGTTATGAACTTTTGAGTTTGGTGCGAAAAAACTTTTGCATCAACCTAATATAAACATCTTCAGCAGTGCCGTAGTACATCCACAGTACCAATTTTACAGCGTTTTCATTGAGTTTTCAGAAAGATAAGATAAATGGCAGTGAGATTGAGAAGTGGTCCCGTGGGGATCCCTAGGGGATCACACAAAATAGTGAAAATCTAATCAAACATGCCTGTAACCCGGCATCAATCATGCGCAGGTATTAGGGTATGAGAGCCTTCATAAGCAAGATAGAGAAGGAAGGAGAAAGGTACTTTGGGAAGCGAGATACGACGCATCCCCTCTCAGATCACCTTCCTAGCGGGGATGTACGTGCATACGGGCCTTAGCCTGATAACACGGATAAACTTGTCAAACCTCCACGTTAAAGCATTGCTTTTCATACTCTCTCGCTAGCAAAAACCGCTACGCTATGATATGTCCAAATTTCTATTGTGCCGAACAGGTTTGAGAAGTGTCTTTATTTCTTTCCAATCACGGCCCTACGTTTCGACGCCTTTTGTCTTCCTTAGAGGCCTGAATGGCTCTAGCAAGGGAACGATCCCCCTTTAAGGTGACGATTTGCTGAGCGATGTATATCGCCTATGCCGTCTCTGGATGGCAAACTCTAGACTGCAATTTATATCTGCGACAACGTTATTCTGAAAGAGTTATGAAGGAAGTTTTCCTGGCAGCCCGAAAAATGCCTTCGAATGCGCGAAACGCTACAAAAAGTGTACGTGGTCGACTGGTGAAATGGATAGTGGCTTGGACTGTGGAGATGGACATCGTAGGTTCGATTCCCGTGGGAGGTCACCCGTTTTGCATTTTTGTAAATTTTAGGAGACAAGTTACAGTCGAGTAGATTTTCCGCTTAATATAGTGTGCTTGCACAGAAGGTGAAATGCGGTAAAATTTGAGCGTGAACAAACAGCTTCGACTGTGACGCCGGTCAATTGCGCGCGCAAATTGCCGACATTATTGGCGTGGCTATTTATTCGCGCAAATTCATTTCACCTACAGTGCAAGCACATTATATTAAACGGAAAATCTACTGGACTGTAAAAAACCTGCCGACATCAAATATATGTCGAATTCTGTAATATGGGACAGTAAAAAACACAGTATAAGCGGAGGATCACTTTCATACCAAAAAACAAGTGTTGGTACTATTCCACATTAGTTGATCCAAAAAATAAAAATCGTGAATTTCGCTAAAACTTCGTCTAGGGGGGTTATTTGGTATGCTGAACACGAATATGATGCTTATTTCGTGCGACAGCGCGATTCGGTGGAGTTACGGTACGATTACGGTAGGGGTCAAAGCCACGGATTTGCCCGAAACTTGGCCCAGAGGGGTTATTCGGCCCGCTGATGCCACATATCGCATTGGTTTTGAACCGTAGCGTCATTTTCTCGGGTTACGATGGGTGTGCGGTAGGGGGTCGAAATCACAAAATCCGCTGTAACTTCGCACAGAGGGGTTATTCGACATGCTGATTAGAAGTGTCACACTTTCTTCGCACGAAAACGTCTCCCTGCATGGTTACGGTAGGTTTACGGTAGGGGTCAAAGTCGCAAATTGGCAAATGTATCTTTCCCCTGTGCTTTGCTCAGGCAAAATCCGCAGCAGGGTGTGTAGCGCGCGGCAGTCGTGTGTGCAAAGCTTCACGATTGTCCGAATCGCCGTACACCCGTTTCAGGTAAAACTATGTTTTACACCCGTTACCGTGTAGCTACCGTAACTGAGAAAATGACACTACGGTTCAAAACCAATGTGATTCTTAGCATCGGCGGGTCGAATAACCCCTCTTGGCCAAGTTTCGGGCAAATCCGTGATTTTGACCCCTTACCGTAACCCTACCGTAACTCCACCGGATCGCGCTGTCGCGCGAAATAAGCGAAGAACAGAAGTTATTGATGAACACTCGTTCTTATTATTCATCTCTGGATTTTTTGTAGTGATCCAGAATTCTTCCAGTGCTTTCCTAGCCGAGATCTCTGTTTCATACGCAAGAATTCTACAGTTGATGTTGAAGTCTTCTCCACCGTGCCGTACGTCCCTATGCCTGCCAAGTAGCGAGCCCAGACTTTTGCGCCTTTTATCGGCCAGATGCTCTTTCATGCGAATACCCAAAACTCTTCCCGCCTCTCCTATATATAACGCGTTGCACTTGAGGCACTCAATTTGATAAACGACTATTAATTTGAAAAACGACTATTTCCGGTGCTACGCTATGAGTTGGCTAGACCCCACCTCCACATGGATCTGGAAGCCGATGATAAAAAAAAGTTATGAAAAGATTGGAAGTGTGTAGCAGAGTTCAGACTTGCTTTGTTGGCTTTCAATCAGTTGCGCAAATTATAGCATACATATAGCATATAGCATGGCCTTTTTCGAACGCTTTTATCTGTAACCAGCTCCTCCATTGCAAGTATGCAATGCTGGGTCGCTTTGCGAAAGCAGCGGTTTCTACAGTAAGTAACTCCTTGCTTCTTCGAATACGGACAAAGATCGTCTCAAATGTGAACTCTTCGAAACAAAACTTAAAAATTCAACTGGCAGCGAGGAGCAGTGTATTCATGTTATAACAAGAGCTTTTGTAAAGGGCTATAATATTTTAGCATCCCAATGAATTTTTACCAAACCACATATTTCCAGATTCGATCCAAAAAACCCCAGAGAATTCACCTTCGATGCTGTTTTCGGAGAAGAAGTTGGCCAGGTCACTTTACAAGATTATGAAGTATTGATATATGAGATGCTTTTTGTTTTAGGAGCAGTTGTACAATCAAGTGGCAAGTCGAATAATAGATGGGTGCATCAGTGGCTATAATGGGACAATCTTCGCTTACGGTGCGTTTGTATGCTTTGTTTTTTTTCTATTACCTGAGTCAGAAGTGCCTTATGTTCTGGGAAGACCTCCTGTTTATGGAGGTGATGTTATCGTGTTTTTGTAGGACAAACCGGGTCCGGAAAAACACACACGATGTTGGGAGCGCAACATGTGAAAGACTTGACGAATCGCGCTCAACGCGGCATTATTCCTCGCGCGTGTGAAGCCCTCTTTCAAAAATTGTGTACGAAAGCTGCTGAGGTTGAGAGCTTCTGATGCAGCATCTTCAGCATTCATCCCTGCTATTTCAGAAAGGCGACAGCTTCAAATATGAAGTTTGGTGCAAGTTTGTGGAGCTTTACAATGAGGAATTTTTTGATCTATTAGACAATTCACAGACAAAAGTGACCCTTCGCAGCAATGAGACTGTAAATTACTTGCAAACTTCATTTCTCATAACGTGCAAAATCATTTGCAGACCGTGCAGATTCTCGGAGCAACAGAACATGTAGTTAAATCCAGCATGGAAATGATGAAGGTACGTTTGCATATCTTATTTCTAAAGCGAACTTAGAAATATACAGATTGTGCAACTTGGGCGGAACGCACGAAGAACGGCGGAAACAGCGATGAATCGTCAATCATCCCGTTCGCATGCGATTTTCATAGTAGAAGTAAGTCGTCTGACTAGGGGAGTACACCAACTGGAGTTGGCGACTGGAGGCCAAGTGTATATCACTGGTCTCGTCTTTAAAGTCTGATTCCGAATCTGCCTTTTTACGCAGAACAGCTCTCTGAAAGAAGTTATGAGTGTTTGGATGTCCAAATCTGTCTAGCATTTAGTGACATAAAATTAGCGAAAAGTTCGACAAAAACACCTTTGCTGACTTCCACTAGGTTCCTTCCTTGTAGTCACATTGATACGACCCTCTACTTTTCGCTAATTTCACGCCACTTGAAGCTTGATAATTCTAGACCTTCACAAGCTCATAATCTCTTTCGGAGAGTTGTTCCATAAAAAGGAAAGCAGATTCAGAACCAGCATTCAAGAACGCATCTAGTGCGCCAACTTAAGTTGGTATTTTTCCATTATAAGTTCAGTTCCTAAGGCAGCCACTAAAACTACCTCTGTACAGATAAAAACCGAAGAAGTATTAAATAACATCGTAAATAAAAGAACAGCCACCTTGAATCTTGTGGATTTGGCTGGTTCAGAGCGTCAGAGTCAGGCGAAGACTAGCGGGACGCGTCTTCGAGAAGCAACCAAAATTGATTTGGTATGATGTTGATTTCATGGACCTGTACTCCATGCGTGCTTTTTCAGTCTTTAAGTCATCTCGGCAGAGTGATACGAACGTTAGCCAAGGCTAAACAAGAGACTCATGTCTCCTACCGCGACTCCAAGTTAACACACTTATTGCGTGACTCTCTAGGAGGGAACAGCCGCACAGTGGTGATCGTGAATCTTCACCCTGACGTCAGGTATGAGCACTAGATTTCGGAGTCTTTATCTGTACGTAAGTGTTGCAGATATTTTGAGTCGATTCATAATCGATGCATCTTCTTCTTGCTCTTCATTTAAGGGCTGGTTTTCAGAGCAAAAGTATTTTTCTGTAAAACTTTGTAATCTAAAAGAGCAATTTTCTAGTTCTTTGCTCATGCTTCCAATTCTTTTTTTTTCGAATTTCAAATTTATTTTTTATTCTAAGCCTTCAGGATCAAAAGACTGAGACTTGATCCTAGCTATCACTCCTCTTGCTGCAAAGTAGAAAGTAGCCGAATTTATCCTCGAGATTATGCATAATGATTCCAAAGCTTTGTGCTGCAAATGATTCTTGAGATGAGATTTTTGTATAATCTTGCGCCGAGGGATCTTGACATAACGATCGGTCGCTGTGGTCCTTCTGTGCCTTCGGAAATCCTGAACAGAAAACGATTACAGAGCTTTTGCTCTACACAGTCAAGGTAGAAATGTACATTTGTTGATGAAAACACATAGTGGTTTTCCCACTAGGGAAAAAATAATTTCCAAAAGGGATCTTTTCGTTTGCTCAGGAATAGCATTGAAAGGCAGTGTATCTTTCGAGATTCTGAATCTGAAGTATATCATGGCAAAAAAAAAAGAAATTCTATAAAATCTGAGCTTGCCTCGCTCAACAAGATCGGCTACACAGCGAGCGGTGTTTGCGCTACCTCACTACATCACAGAATTATGCTTTCTTATGCGAAGTGTGGATTTTTCCTTGGTAGTTGAATACTTCTAAAGGCTAAAATTGTACAAAAGTATGTGTTGAATAAAACTTTCTGTTTTCAGTCTTTTGCTCTTAGCAAAATCGTCTTAGAAAGACTCATTTTAGAGATGTGCGTAATTATGAATCGATCTAAGTTGGACTGGATTCCATAGCGTAATTGCCCAGCACATTGCAGATTTTACACTGAAAGTTTATCTGCCCTACAATTTGCGTGCGATTGCAAGAAAGTCGAGAATCGGATACACGCAAACGAGAATTTATGCGGTGATACAGTCTCGGCTTATAAGACTGAAATCAAAAGACTCCGTGAAGAATTGGGCTCCGCAGAAGGAAGGATCAGAGCAGGTGTGCCGCTAGGCTTCAAAATGAGTAGGATTGATATACAAACATACCCTAAAATCCGTACAATAAGTCCGCATATCAGACAAGTCCACCCATTAGATAAGTCCAATAAGTCCACAGCAGACCGAGCAGATAAGTCCGCTTTCATGACAACGAAAGTCGCCCTCGCGCCGCCAAGAGTCCTGCAGATAAGTCCGCTTTCTCATGCTCAGGATAGGCGAACTTATCTGCTGCGGACTTATCTGATAGATTGTTTAGGAGGACTTATCTGCAAGACTTTTGGCGGCGCAGAGGGCGATTTTTCATCGATTTTTCGTGTCAAAACTGCAGATAAGTCCGGACTTAATGTATGGATTTTAGGATATATATATATATATATATATATATATATATATCAGTGGCGGTCCCAGGATTTCGGCTAGGGGGGGGGCGGCAAAAATTTTTTTCAAATAAAAGTGCGTGGCGTCAGCCACGCCCCCGAAAAAAATTTTTTTATAAGGCTAATTTGAATTTTTAAAAAATTTTAAAAATTATTTTAATTATTTACAAAAGCAAACAAGTGATTTGCACATTTTTGTAACCCATGTAGGTAAGTTTCAAAAATTTCGCGACCATTCTCGGGGGGGGGGGGCGCGCCCCCCCCCCGCCCCCCCTCTCGGTCCGCCACTGATATATATATATATATATATATATATATATATATATGTATATATATCAGTGGCGTACCCAGGATTTCGGCTCGGGGGGGGGGGGCCGCGACATAAAAATTTTTCCGATGAAGGTGCGTGGCGTCAGCCACGCACTCCGAAAAATTTTTTGGTATGCTCCCAAAAATTTTCGCGGGCTCAGAACCCCGAAACGTCAGAAAAAGGGGGCGTGGCGTCAGCCACGCCCCCGAAAAATTTTTTTTGTAAGGCTAAAATGAATTTTTAAAAAATTTTAAAAATTATTTTAATTATTTACAAATGCAGACAAGTCATTTGCACGATTTTATAACCCATGTAACTTTCAAAAAATTTTGCGACCCGTTCTCGGGGGGGGGGGGGCGAAATTGTTGAAACTCACCTACATGGGTTACAAAATGTGCAAATGACTTGTTTACTTTTGTAAATAATTAACATAATTTTGAAATTTTTTAAAAATTCAAATTAGCCTTATAAAAAAATTTTTTTCGGGGGCGTGGCTCACGCCACGCCCCCTTTTTTCAGGTTTTTGGGGTCGGGGACCCGCAAAAATGTTGAAAAGTACCCCTAAAATTTTTTCGGAGTGCGTGGCTATCGCCACGCACCTTTATTTGAAAAAAATTTTTGCCGCGCCCCCCCCCCCCCGAGCCGAAACCCTGGGACCGCCACTGATATATATATATATATATATATATACCAGTGCTTCACCTCTGCTTCGCAGAGGTTCGCACTGGCATCGTGAACCGTGGTAAACTCACTTTCTGAGAGCTTGTCTCTCAAATCATTGCTCCGTTCATTGCAAAGTGAGCCGTAGTTGAAAATGAACCATACTCGCTATCTTAACCTCACATGATGTTTAGTATCGTAAATCATTCCTCACTGTAATTTCGTAACGGACAAACTCCACACAACTTCAGATTAAGCCGCTTATTATAAGTCATGATGCTATGTATACTTCTGTGTTTTTCAAAAAAATTGACTGCTTTAATTTTTGTATGAAAGAGTAACTCATGTTCTTTATAACGACATCTTAGCTGCTTGTTAATGAGCATCTGCTGCATAGATAGGAGCGATAGAAGAAAATTAGTCAAAATTCGAATTTTCTGTGTAGGGTCATAAAAAATCGGAAATTTGCGACAAAAATCGGAACAGTCAGTATTGTAGGTTCTTTCACACGCTCTTTCTAACAGTGCAAAGTTCGCGCCGATTGATTGTTTCTATGAAAAGTTATGATTTCCCTGAAAAATGCCAAAATAGCGAATTTGATTTATTTTGGCATTTTTCAGGGAAATCATAACTTTTCATAGAAGCGCTCAATCAACGCAAACTTTGCGCTGTTAGAAAGAGCTGGTGAAAGAACCTACAATACTGACTGCTCCGATTTTTGTCGCAAGTTTCCGATTTTTTATGACCCTACACAGAAAATTCGAATTTTGACTAATTTTCTTCTATCGCTCCTATCTATGCAACAAATGCTCATTAGCAAGCAACTAAGATTCCGTTATAAAGAACATGAGTTACTTTTTTATACAAAAATTAAAGCAGTGAAATTGGTTGAAAAACACAGAAGTTATGATTTTTTGAAAATGGTGCGAACGAACTTTCGGTCCAACCTAATATCATAACTTATAATAATGGGCTAAGGGTTGTTTGCGTGTTTTTGTGTGTGTGTGTGTGTGTGTCTGAATGTCTGTCTGTCACGAAATTCATAGCGCGAGTTCCAGCCAACGTTCTGAGCCCAAATTTTGCATAGCGCATGCTACCAGCATAAAAGTCCACCATGCGAAAGCACGAGCGGATTTGTTAGGTGGATCCCTCAGAAATTGCGCGTCAGCCGGGTCCGATTGGCTTTTGGCCCGCATAATCGGGTCCGTATCACCACTTTTTGCAAATTCGTGAATGTGCTTGGCATCTCAATGTGCAAGCCATGGGCTTTGGTCCAAAAAGGGATCAAAAGTCTACTACTTTATAAAAACGACGCCGAAAAGTATTTATTGCTCGATGGTCGATTTGCCAAGGTTTTACTTGAGCATTTGAGAAGATTTTTGCACAGAGATGTGGCTCAGGGTGTTATTGTCCTTATAACAATTACCTAGCCAGAAAAAAGTTCAAGAACCTATTCAAAATTGCATTTGTTCTTCTGCGAAAAATTTCATCCTCTCAAAATTACCGTTCTCACATAGAAAAGCTTTTGGAATGAGTAGTTGTTTACATTTTATTCGTGATATTCGGCATTGTCCGGTGAGTTTCAATGCCATCATAAGGTACGAATGAGTAAGGCGTACAGAGTAGGACCACAGCGAGCCTCTGCGAGTCAGTGTAGTTCGTAGCGCAAGCTGCAACCAAGAGTTCGAGCTGATTTTCTGGCTATAGCACGCCAGTAGCACCCAGATTCACTATGTAAAGTAGTAAGTGGATCCGTTCACCGGTCACATGAAAATCGCACGATCCAGAAAGCATTTGCTTTTTGGCAAACGAGGTCCTTATTCAGGGAGTCTGCATTAACTGTAAGACTTTTAACTTAGAAATCTTCTAGACCCTGGAATTCAACGCAGATACGTAGCAAAAAGTCAACCTTACGCAAAAATGGCGTCAAAAAATGATGACACAATTGATTGTTGATTTCTGAAGAACTCACTGTATAGCTGGAGATATTGTAGCCTGGGAATGTTGTGTGCATCCGTTGTCGTTCTAATTAGCCAACATCGCCTTGATAAAACCGATTCGAAATTACATTAGCCGTTGGTGAAAAAGTTTCGCCACGCAAAATTTACCGGTTTCACATGGAAAACCTCGCAGAATGAATAGTTGTTTACGTCTTATTCTTCACGATCAGCTTTTTCTGGGGAGGTTCAAAGCAAATGGAAAGATGAGGCAGGGCGTTCTTTAGCTCTGGGACCAGACACGGATTCGTAGTCCCGCATGACGAGAGATTTATGGGGTGCATAGACGTCAGTACCTGCTGTCTGCTTGAGTGCCGCACTTGGCCTTCCTAAGAATATGCTGCGGAAAAACTACTTATGAACGAGTATGAAATAGGTATGAAATACCTGCAACTAGGTGGCCAGAGATAAATAGTCAAAATGGGAATCAAAGCTATGTTGATGCCATATTTACATTTCGGAAGCTGCACAGAATTTGCAGGGAATCCAATCTACGAAACAAGACACTGACTCACATTCATAACATTACCAATTGAAATTTTCCTATACTCCCGTTTCTATCATCGTATCGGAAGAGTAGATTTTTAAATACACTTTCTATCCCATTACGCTTAGTTTGAAGCAGATTCGCCAATTGTTTTTTTCAATGAGGGTGAGCTGCTGTAAATGCCATAGTTTCATTTTGAACCAAATCTTCAAAGCGGTATGTTCTTGGATTCACATAAAATCTGGCGTACGAGTATGATGTAGAAACTCCCGGCTACATTTTGTTGATATATCAATCGAAAGTTTCCTGAAAGAGGATTTTAGCTTCTATACTCGCTATAGAAGAATCTCTATACTATACTTTTGTCCTAATCGCTCTAACTAATTTCGCAGTAAAATTTTATCACATTCTTGAATTTATAATGATCATCTATCATAACTTATAATAACGGGCTAAGGATGTTTACGTGACTTTGTGTGTCTGTGTGTCTGTGTGTATCAGAGTGTGTCTGTTACGAAATTCGTAGAGCTGTTCCAGCCAACCTCCTGGGCTCAAATTTTGCACAGTGCATGCTATCCGCATGAAAGTCCAACATGCAAAAGCACGAACAGATTTGTTTAGTGGATCCCTCAGAAATTGCGCGCCAAACGGGTCCACCTGGCTTCTGTACCGCAAAATTCGGTCCGTATCAGCACTTTTTGCAGAGTCGTGGATGAGTTTGGTAAGCAAATGTGCAAGCGATGGACTTTAGCCCGAAAAGTAGTTTACTACATAACGAAAACGGCGCCAGAAAGAATTGGTTGTGTAAATAATCAATTTGCCAAGGTTCTAGCTAAGCGTTTGAGGAGATTTTCGCACAGAGATATAGCTCACGGTTACTATTACTTCTATGGCGACTATCAAGCCATGACAAATCCGAAAACCTAATCAAATTTGCGTTTGTCTTCCTGCGAAAAGTTTCATCCACTCGAAATCACCGATCTCACGTGAAAAACTTTCTAAATGAGTGGTTGTTTACATTCTATTCGTGGTAGTCGGCATAGCGCGGTAAGTTCCAGTGCCACGATTTTACGAGAATGAGTAAGGCACATAATAGTAGAGCCAGTGCGAGCCTCTGCGAAGCAGAGGTGACGCACTGGTATATATATATATATATTAGGTTGGTCCGAA